ACTGCTTGGGGTGGCTGGACAGGGCCCTACCATGTTCTGAGCAAAGTGAAGTACAAGAGCTCCCTGGCTGTTTGGGATTGTTGGCCCGGCTCTTTTGAAAATTTTAAAAATGAATTATCTATTACAAATTTTTGTCTGTGTTCTGTGATTACTAAACTTTTCTGGACTTACTCTTGAAATTAATGCATATACCAGTAAAATTATTTCTTTTACCATTGTCTATGTAATTGTTATTTTGTAGCTTGTGGTTTGTCTTTTGATTATTTGAAGTAATTTTGACTATATATTATATTCTGTATTCCCTTAGTCAAAACTTTTATGTGTTGTGGGAAGCAATTCCTTCATTTTTCTTTTATGAAAATATTTTTATAGTTTTTCAGCATGATTTTTTAGCATATTTCCTTAAAATTATGTTGAAATTCTTGATCTGTCTGGAGTTTGCTTTTATAACAGAAGTTTATTCATTGAATTCTCATTTTTTTCTAGAAGGACATTTTTATGGGGCATAATTACTTTTTCCTACTGTTTTGAAAGCCCAACATTAATGTGCTCTAAATTTGTTTCCTATTGTATATATTTGAATCCCTCGTGACTCTATTTTTTCCATATATGTGTTTTATTCTGCACCAAATACCAAAGCAATCTTTATTTTAACACCAGAACCAATCTTTATTGTAACAAGGCCCGTGCAGTGCTAGAGCCCATGTGTGTGACTACATAGAAAGGAGCCTACCCAGACTAAATCTGAGAGTTAAACTTGTTTGTTTGTATTTCTTAAAATAAAAATGAGATAGATTTTTAATGACATTTGACTTAGAGGATTTATTTAGTAAGACGTAACTCTAGACAATTGAGTCTCAAATATATTCAGCCATTTAACGAATCTTTTATGACTAGAAGTCTGTTGTATTCTGTTCATACACACCAGCGATTATTTTCAATTTAGTCCTTTGGAATTTGTCTTTTATCTTGGTCTTGTTGAGGTTTTTTCTATTTTCCAGGTTTCTGTTTTCTGAACATAGAAAATTTGGGATTTTTTTAAAAAGTCTGATATAATTTCCATAATGCACAGTCCATTGTTTTTTAGCTTGATAATCCCCTCCTATGAGTCTTGACAGATATCTGCAGTCATGAGACCATCACAAGCCTCAGTGTTCCAGTGTTTCGTATACTCCTCTCACTTTGTGTTAACCCTACTGACAGCTGATTTTGATGCATTTTCTTGAACCAAGACCTTCAGCAGTTATTATTTGCCCGTATTTTGCTTCATCTGTGACATTTTTTGAAAAGCATTTGAACAATAGAATTTTCAGCTTTAATATAGTATAATTAAAAATTTAATTCTATTGTCAGTCTTAGTTGAACTGGCAAGGGTAAGAAAACTTTGGGCTTTAAAATGTAAATGATAAAAAAGGAAAGACAAAATCTGTGAGCAACTCAGTGTCACAAAGTTAATTCTAATATTGTCCTTTCAACTTTTTATAGCTGTAGGGCTCACATTTAATTCTACAAATTATTTTGGGTTAATTCATCTTTATGGCATGAAGCATGGATCAAAGTGCATTTTAAAAATGATATTGAATTACCTTCAGCACATTTTTTGATAAGACTACTATTTATTATTAAATTGCCTCTGCATATTGATAAAAAATCATGCAGTGTTTGCGTCTAATTCTGGTTAATCTCTTCTGCTTCATCTTCATATGTATCCATTCTCCAACACTGTACTTTATGAGTAGAAATCCAGCACTATGAGATACTCAATTGTATACTTTTCCAAAAATTATTTTGGCTCTTACTGTTTTTTATTTGTTTTTTTTTCAGGTAAATCTTCGAATCAGGTTTGTCAATGGTTTATTGTTTATGATATTTTTTAGTCTATAGATCAATTAAAATATGTTTGATCTCTTATAATGAGTCTTTATATTCATGGTTCTGGGTTGTCTCCTCACATTTTTATTTCTTTAATTTGTTTGTTCAGTATATTGTAGTTTCATCATAGCATACACATTGTTGAACAGCATATATCACTGTAGTTTGATGGCTTTAATTCTTTGGTGAACACACTTATAAAGAGTTATAGCTGAATCCAATATAAATTTTCTTACAATCTTTTGAAGATTTTTTTCTTTAGGGCTGGGGATCAACCTCATGACCTTGCGCTTGCCAGGCAGGAACTTATACCATTGAGCTAAATCCCTAGCCCCTTGAAGAATTTCTGCACTGATTCATATTGATTTCCATAATGGTTACACTTGTTTATATCTCACTACTCCTTGGGTAAAGAAAAGTATCAATAATAAAGAAAAAATATTTATTAATTCCAAGAAATAGATATGCTACTTAAAAGTTTAATAAGACTTAGTCCAGATGAAATAAAATATCTAAGATGACCACTAATTAATAAGAAGATGGAATAAGTAACCATAAACATTATAAGAAAGAAATATTCAAGACCAGAATTGAGAAAATGGGCAATGTTAACACTTGTATATTTTGTTCATATTCATACCTACTATTTTTCTTCCTTAAGCCTATAAGAAAGAATTTTAATAAGGGAGTTTTATATATTTCGGTTCTTCCCAGTGTGGATTTTTCCCTGTGGGTGATGTGACCTCAAGTTGGTCAATTATAATTATTCCCTCAGGGAGCATGTCTCTGGAAATTGTGATCTAATTTTTATAGTTCTGACACCTTAGTGCATTGCCTACCCTCAGAATTCTGCTGGAGGTTCTACTGAGTTTAATTAAGGAAATATCTCCCAATTAGAAAGAGCAACTGAAGATAGAATAATATGCCCTGTGGTTCAAATACAGATAAAATTTCCAAATACTGCCTTTACTTTGGGGAGTTTTTGTCTATATTAGTATCCATAGAACCGTATTCTTAGCAATAGACATGATATAGTCAAGGTATGATAGAATAGGGATTCAATTTTTCTTCATTCTCTAGCTAGTCCTAAATTAAATGATGGTATATGAGGTCAGACAACTATACCTGAGTGAAAATTCAAACATTTTTAAAATTTAAAAATTGCAAATATATGTCTCAGCTATTCAAGATTCTGTTTCCCACAAAGCTTGCTTTTCAAATACCAAATTTCTTATTTACTATTTGCTCATTTTAAGGGCAAATTTTACCAGAAATAGAAATATGCATCACTATATAATAAATCATATTTCTTGAGGTTACAGGTCATTGTTGAGATTAAAGATTTGCAACTACTTTAAAAGCAATTTTTTCCTGAATGTCTGATGAATCAACCTTCCTTCAAGCACGGAACAAACTGGTCAGTGGAAAAATTCTGAGGTGCATTGATGGTGCACGTGTTATTTAGCTTTTGCATACAGAAAGAAGACATCAGTGTGTGAAGCTGTTATCATTTAGGAACAAGGAGAAGAAAAAATATAGAACTTGGAAAAAGTGACTCTGTTTCTTGCACAGGTAATTCAGGCAGGTTATTTACTTGTATGATTCTAAACTAAACTTCTCATGATGTACACTGATGACACAGAAACTCATAATCTTTTGAAAGCTTTTTATGAATCTGATAGCTATGCTATAGGGTCCTTTGTTAGAAGTGTGTCTATTGATTCCACTTCTGAAAACTCCTCTTTCATATTTCAAAATTATAAAAATGTAGAATAAATTTTCCCATCTAATGTCAGTGTTCTTACAAACTAATTGCATTATGACTCTTTTGGAGATTTTTGGTTAATAGGTGTTTGTAAATTTCTGATTAGGGCCATGAGGATTGTCTTCTGAATACTGTTTAGCATGTGAAAGATTAAACTGTGATTTAGCATCTGTAGAAATTAAAGAGTGAGTCTAGAGAACATAATGTTACACATAATTGAGTCAGTGAGCTTTTAGGTTAATTCAAAATAATCTTGTGTCCAATAGGAGGAGAACTCCAACTGACTTTGGACTTAAGTGACAGAGCTTGTATAACATGAGTAGATAATTGCATTTAAATACTTGCTTGAAAGAGTTGTGGGGTCCAAAGTTAGAATTTTTAAACATAAAGATATACTAGGTGAATATGCTGACATAATGGTGCAATACAAGGAAGGAAAATAAGGGTGAAGAGAATGGAGGGGAGATCTGAAGAGCAGTGTTAGGAATGATAAAGAGGATGAAATTAGCAGCATGAACAGAGACACAGGCCTTAGTTAAAAAGAAACATATTCCATGTCTGTGAAGAGGAAGCAGGGAGAATTTATGAATCCAAGTGAATTTGACATCAGTAGAGATTTAGATTGCAACCATCATTACTAGGATTATTTTTTAAGAGAACATTGTGCTAGTGAATACGATTCCAATTAGAATTTTCTTGCTGTGTATGCAATCTTTCTGTTTCTGCTTCTCATAATCTCTGTTATTGCACTGGTTTCTTCTGTTTGTTCCTCTCGCCTTCTCTCTTCCCTGAAGAGCCTGAGTTGGGGAGGGAGGTGTGCAGCCTTACTCACCCTCTTCCCTTCCCCTCACCTCTCCGCTTTCCTCTCCTTCTCTCTAAACTGCTTTTAGTGTATTTACTTATTGTACTCTTTAACTTTCTTAAAATATTCTGAGATATCTATTATTTGAGAAGTTTCTTCTATTCCAAGAATGGAGAAAATCACATTTACTTTGTTACTGAGAAATAAATATAAAATAAGTCTTGCCGTTGTTTCACATGAAATATTTAAACCTCTGTCTTTTTCTTTGTGCTGTTAGCTCTTTGGGGACTTTCATTAGCTTCCAGACAGAGAGCTAGTTATGGGAGGCTCATTTTTCTTTCACAGGCATTTGTGTCATGATTATTCTATAAGAGCCCGCTAGTTAGGCTCTATGCTTAATCTAATTTGAATTCTTATAATCTCTAACAGTTCAGGAAGAGAATATCCATAATGCCTATTTAAGCAATGAATAAGCACTCTAGAATTTCACAGTCTCACTAGTAATAATTCTATTTCTAGATAATTTCCTTCTGAGCAATGACACAAGGACACACAGAAGGACATATGGAGCAAAGGAACAATGTGACTGAGTTTGTGCTCTTGGGGCTCACTCAGAGCCTCCAGGGTCAGAAAATATTGTTTGCTGTGTTCTTCCTGATCTATGTGGTAACAATGACAGGAAACCTCCTCATTGTTGTGACTGTGGTACTCAGTCCATCCCTGAATGCCCCTATGTTCTTCTTTCTTGGCTACTTATCATTTATGGATGTTGCCTATTCTAACACAGCTACCCCAAATTTGCTGATAGACTTACTTCATGTGAAGAAAACCATTTCCTTCCAAGCTTGTATGACTCAGCTTTTTTTAGAACACTTTTTTGGTGGTGCTGAGATTTTGCTCCTGGTGGCCATGGCCTATGACCGCTACGTGGCCATCTGCAAACCCCTGCATTATCTGACCATCATGAGCCAACGGATGTGTTTCCTGCTCCTGCTGCTGGCCTGGATTGGGGGTTTTGTGCATGCCACACTGCATATTATGTTTGTTTATAATCTTCCTTTCTGTGGCCCAAATGTCATTGACCACTTCATCTGTGACATTCACCCCTTATTAAAACTCACCTGTACTGACACCTACATTATTGGTCTTGCAGTGTTGGCCAATGATGGAGCAAGCTGTGTGGTCATCTTCACACTCTTATTAATATCCTATGTGGTCATTCTGTACTCCCTGAAGAACCTGAGTCAGGAAGGCAAGCACAAGGCCTTATCCACCTGTGGCTCCCACATTACGGTGGTTGTCCTCTTCTTTGTTCCTTGCATTATTCTATTTGTGAGGCCTCCTTTTACCTTGTCCACTGATAAATATTTAGCTGTGTTTTACACTATTATCACTCCTATGCTGAACCCTGTCATTTATACTCTGAGAAATTCAGAGATGAAGAGTGCCATGAAGAATCTCTGGGCTAGAAAATAAAAATGAAGTGACAGAGTCATATCATTCACATTCTGTGAAGGAATTAATTCTTGAGAAGATGTCACATGTGGTTATGTCATTGTTGTAGTTAGGGGTTGTACACAGAGAACAATTAGGATCAGGACAGGGAGTTTATAATATTATTTTTATTATGGTCACTGGGAGTTAACACAGGAAAATGCAGGAAATCCACCTGCAACACCAAAGACATAGATTTAGTCAAGAGCCTGAATCTCACAGCAGTGTCCCACATGAGTCCAGATAAAAACCCAGAGCTCAGGACAATGCCTCCCACGAGTTCAGCTGGAGGTCCAGAGCCCACAAGAAGGACTCACACCAGTCTCTTTTACGGATCCGTGCCGGGAAGACCCAAGGGTCAGGGGTGGAAGCCAGAAACTCTATACTAGCAGGATGAAGGAGCTGTGCTAGTGGGATAAGGGTTCTACACTGGAGCCGAGAAGTCACACTCACAACAAAGACCAGGGCTGTCCTGAAAGGCACCACAGCCATCCTCAGCGACATGGAGGTCCTGAGCTCTGACAACAAGCACAGTTGGGTACATGCCAGGAAGCAGCATGACGAGTTCATCCTGGAGACCAAGCAGCACATGTCTTCCCTTCGAGAGCCAGGAAGCAATGCTTGGTGTGAGGACAAAAGTTTCTCCAGGAGAACCAACAGCTCAAACAGCAACTTGCAGGAGAACCCACAATGCCTCAATGCAATAACACCTTAATGCTTCAACCACTCAACACCTCCATGCCTCCCTTCTTCTTCATCACCTATTTATGCTGGCAACTTTCCTCAGGTGGAGCATCTTCGCTCAATGCCATGCTGAAATAATCCACCAGTTCTTAATCCATAAGAGTCACTAAACTGAATTTCCCCTCAGGTTTAATAACCATACATAATAGAAAATATTTGTTATGTGAGTTCTTCCAATGATCAACATACACTTTTAAGACTATTGGGATTTGGGGTATTAATTCTTACTCCATGACTCCCAAAGGCAGCTCTGAGCAGCAGTCTAGGAAGACCTGCCCCTGCAGGACTGTAGTCCCACCCTCTACAGCCCCCTGAATTCTTACTTGAGAAGCACTCATCATGTTTAAATCCCCCCTCTGGTTATTTTGGTGTATATGGCATATGGATCTCACTTCATCTTCTTTTCTATGTATTGTGATGCCCTGGTATACACTTATTGGTAGTCTTTGTAAACAAGAGTATAATATTCTTTTTGTCAAGTACAAAGTAGCCAAAATAAGGAGGATTTTTTCCAAAGAAATGACTTAAAAACTTTCTGAAGTTGATGGTAGAGAAACGTCTCAGATGGAAACTGATAGTAGGAGTGTGTAGAAGAAGAAGGAAGCTGCTGATTATGAAGATTCAGCATTTTCCATGTTCCGGAACAGCACTCTTCCTAGTCTTAGTCATTGTGTCTTCCTTCTTTGTAGAAAGAACTCCAATCTCACAGGGAACATCTTGTCCATAACTGAACCATCAGGGTTAATCAGCTTTCCTGTCTGTGAAGGCTAAGGAGACTTCATGAGCTTAGCTTTAGCTTTCCTGTCTGTAAAGTCTAAGGAGACTTCATGAGCTTAGCTTCTTCATGCATGGCCTTGGAAGGAAAAGGCCTTTTCCTTTGGAAAAGGATCAGGCTGCTCAGGGTGAGAGAGACACAAGATGTTCTATAGTCTGGAGTCTGAGGCTTTAAAAAATGTAGTGGAATGTAATTCAGTAATTATTCACTGACTTTTTATGACAGATAATTGGAATTAAATGACTTGAAATGGAAACCTAGATTATCAGAGCATTCATTTTTTATTTTTAATTTTTTTATAAAGTTTTATTTTGAAAGTAGTAAAATACAACAGAACAAGACAGAACAAAGCCAATCAAGACAATTCAGTGAAGTTAGTACAGAATTTCAAAGCAGGATAATGGGATAACAGTAATAGGTACATTATATATCTCTTTACCTTCACAATAGCTGTCCAGTCAATCAGGCATAACAAAATCAAACCAAAAATGAACATTATAAAACCAATCAAAAGAGAATATTGATAGAATGATGAGAACAAAGCTAAACAGAGAAAACATTTGCCTTTAAACAAGATAAACAAAATCTGCCATATTTGCCATATTGCATATGGTCATCCTCCAAAGAGATGATCAGACCTCTGCCCTCAGTTGCTAATGGGGGGGGGGAGGTTGGGATGTTTGATTCTCAGACTGAGCACCAGTAGGCTTATGGGAGACGCTGACTGTTTCTGTTCCTGGCCTGCACCAGGGCTGATATCACGAAGGGGGGTAAATTGCTTTCTTGCTCAGCCACTTAAGTTCCACCATGGCTGGATCTCGGAAGCCACTGACTCTCAGAATATTTATTAAAAGACAAGTAGTCTTACAATATGATATTATCACAAGAGGAGAAATGACTTGTTTCCTGGATCTGTCTGAGTTTAGCAACCTGAGCTGAGGTGTTATTATTTATAACAGCATCAAGAAGTTAACTAGTTCTCCTTTTTTTCCCAAGCACAATATTACAACTGTTTTCAAACCATATAATTGAAATGGATCCTTTTCCCCAAGAAATTGAGCAGTAGCTTCATGTTTACAAGGTTCTGGATTTGTGAGTTAAGCCCTCCATTTATTTAAAGAAGAAAGGCAGCCAAGGTAGATCTAACAGTAGTGCCCATGGCTGTGTGAGGGGCAGTGGAACTAAAGCACACAGAGCTCAGCCATGACTTTGTCCCTGAGTGGCCTCAGATGTCACCTTGACCCTGCCCTGCTAGGTTAAGAGGTTATCACTGGAATCATTTTTTTCCTTATCATGGTTTTACAACACTGGTAGACCTTTAAGTAAGACACAGAACCCCCTTCCTGAATATTGACAATAAAGGATCAAAGTAATGTTTGTGAATTCTAAGACTTCACCAATATGTTTGCAATGAATTTAGTTCTTGAGTTTTAAGGCTTCATCAAGGTTTTTGTAATGGTTTAAGTGAAGGTCAAAGTTTTTCTCTAGGAAGTTGAAAAAACTGACTCTTTAGAGCACAAGTTTATGTTCATTGTGAATGAAATATTGATTCTTTTGCCCTAAGGGGTTCAGATTATAATAGTCTTGGTTTTTTCTACTAGCTCATGCACAGATATTATCAATTTCTATATGTACAATGAGCTGAAAAACTTTGAGGTGCTCGTCTTTATCCTAATGATATTAGTTATCTGGATATTCTGTAAACATTTGACTATGTTCAGTAATTTCCCACAACTTGTACCCCATAGGAAATACCATGTATTACCGGTCTTTAGTTACTACTTATAGATTTAAGCTGAGCTCTGTAAATGACATTTATTTGTAATTTTTAAAATAGGTATTCATCAATTTAGTTTCTACTTCAGTGCCGCTGGATGTGTTGGTGTGATACATCCAAGAAATTAGAAAGGAATATGGGCAGGAATGCATTTATCAGATCATTATAGTCTACAACTAAGGAATACTTTTCTTCATCACTTCTGGAACTCTGCAACTTACTTTTCATTGCTGCTTTATTACCTGAGTGCATTTATTGCTAATGATGAGTGATGGGGAAGCATGAAATTGACTGAAAAGTAGGTGACCCATAAGAAGTTCATTTTAATGATTTATTTCATTTTTCTTTAGTTTTGATTTCAGTAGGAAGAGTGAGTAAACAAAATTTAGTTTCTGAATATTTCCTGAATATTTCCTATGGCATTTTTAAAAATCCTGACAATGTCTCTAATTTTCTACAGTGCTAGATAAGTTATGAACATTTTCCATAAGGAAGAACCAGTGCTTTATTCTTGGGAGATGAAGATCCTTTTCCTCAATATTCTCCTTGTTATTGAAGAGCCAGGTGGAATACAGAGTTATGATGTGCCAAGTCAGACCTAGAGAGTGAAGACCTGCAGCAGAATTCTCACTTTAAAAAGACCCCAAGACTGTGAGCTTCCCCTTGGTAGAGTGAGATGTAGGTAAATGAATGGATCTTGAGAGCAGATGCTAATGTGAAATATATTGGACACACATAGGTAAATATCACACTGTTTCTCTGATGTGAGAAACCAAGAGCGTGAATAAGGAGCAAAATATATAATAGATATTTTGAAATAGGAAAAAATCGTTCAAAAAGAAAGGGGGTGAGTGGAGAAAACAGTAAAAAAGGGAGTAAAAAAGAGGATAAAATGGAAACAAAGCTTGGTAAGTAAGGAGTGGAAGAAGAATTGAAGGAGGTGAGAAGAATGGAGGAAGCAAAGAGGATCTAGGACACACCGTGCATAGGTACACCCTCCCTATGATAAATGTGGCCACTGTGTCTATCTAAAGATACCAGATACCAGTGTACCAGTAAACTTAGTGATGAAGATCCCATTCCAACATCAATGAAACAAAGGGATTTTGATATAATTAGTGTGCAAAGGAAATGCATTCCTTTTTTCACAGTCATGCTGGGTACAATTTTCCTATTTTTAGTTTCCTCATTTGCAATTTAACAAAAAAGTTGTATTGAAATGTAAATAAAACTATTACAATTTTTTAGGAATATATGTTAAGAATGTATATACCAACAGATAGATGATAGATAGATAGATGTATGTACGCTTTTAAAATATGAAATTACTGTGACAGCAAATTTATGTAGCATAAGTGATATAAATAATATTAATCATTTATTTCTCTTAACATAGTATTGCTTCTTACATAAACAAAATCAATCCCTTTTCAGATTTATTAATGTTCATGACATTCAAAAAATTAATCAAAGAAATATAAAGCAAATACTTGGAATAATTTATCTTTCAGAAGTTCAGTAACTTTGAATAAGTCATAGCTGGCCCAGCTTCCAGCCACACTAGGCTGGGCTCTGCAGGTTTCTTTGGCCTAGCTGGGCATACCAGTGACCTTCTTTCAATCGGGGATTTGGGATTAGTGGAGGTGAGTTCCAGCACACCAGCACGGGCTGTGGGAGTTTAAGATC